AAATGTGGTCTGTTTATATCAAAGGGTGCTAAACATCAGGATATTGTGGTTGGGGTGTAACGATTTGCCTTAAGATGGCTGGGACTTATCTTGTTGAAATCATAAGATCATATGCATTAGCCCTGTGGCCATAGAGAACACTGCTGGATAACAGCCACATTCACTGGCTGCCTGCAGACTCATAGTACTGATATGAATAAAATCATCTTCTCTATAGGTGGAAATGATAGTGAAAGGTTGCAGGCAGCTAGTAGCTTCTTCTGCTTCCTCCAAAATTAATGTCTGAGAAATGTCTGAGAAGGGAGGGGCAGGGAAGCCGATGAGACAGCATCATGCCTTTCATTGCAACAAAAACCTGTAGAGAACCTGATGGTGGACTTTAGGTTTGGATTTTTATAGAATGGATAAGGCCCTGTCACCGCACCTTGCTCTGACAGCTTCCTTCTCACCTTCATACAGATGTCCCCAACCAGCAACCTGGCACCGATTCCCTTCATCATATATCTCCACGGAACTGGGCAAGCACACAGGTGAGATGGAGTGTGAAAACTCAGCACAGTGTCCTGGTCCATTCTCTTTCAATCGCACCAGTGCTGGGGAGAGTGCAGGCATCCAATTAGTATGACAGTCTCTTGGTATAGTGAACTGGGCACAGGGGAGGAGATTGCTAGAGAGGTGGTGAGTGAAACTGTGACCTATCCTTATGGAGAGTGGTTGAACTTGAAACAGAGACAGACTGAAGTGAAACTCCCCACCACAAGGCATATAAGTAGGCTTCTGGCATGGCCAGCACTGTACTTTCTGTTCCCTCTTGGGACTGTACAGTATGGATTAGAACCTCGTGGTTCTGTTAAGAGAGGAACCAGCTCATCCTTTGACCCACCTTTGATTCTACAACTCAATGGTTAAGGTTCTTTGGACTCAAGAAAGGTTAAGGAAAGGCATTTCTGGTTGGGGTTGGATGGTATAGAGAGAACCAAAAGATGGTCCATAAAGAAGTCAGGCACAGGGGTGGGACTGGATGCTCCAAGGGTGTCCAGAGCACAGGCATGGATGGCTACCCCATGTGTGTATGGGGGGGGGGGAAGAGACATACAGGAAGAGGCTCTCACCAATGTCATGGTGCTTGTTGATCTCAGAGTAGTTCTCATGCAGTTGATATCCCTGTACTTGAAATTTTATGGAGCTTTTGGTGGTGACATTGTAGAGGGTCTGGCCCAGCACAACTGAAATCTGGGAGACAGCTGGCCTAGAGTACAGAATATTTTATCAGTAGAGCCCTTCACCATCAGATCTAAGTTCTCTAGATTCACTATCAGGCCTTTAGCAGTTCTGGGAAAACAATGGCAAGACTTGCCTTCTCTCCAGACAATGTGCAGCAGTCAGGATCCAGAAGGAATCAATGAGGCTCCCTCCACAGAACTGCTCCCCCAGATACATGGCAGCCATGTAAGGATGGGCATCAGAATGTGCCACCATGCCCCCCACCACACGACTTCTCTGGGAGGCAGTCTTCGTGTAGCGTTGTCCACACACTGGAGCTGAGCCAGCACTGGACTGGGTACCATTGGTCCTGTCCGGAGACTCTGTCACGGATTCCACATGCTTTCCCACATTCACTGTACTCTCACTATCTGCAGAGAAAGCAGCATGGGCTCATTGATCTCTGGTTCATTCACCCACACCCCATTCATTTCATCCAGAGAGAATGGCACGCCTTACCGTTAGTGTGGGGGTAACAATGGGGGACATTGCAGAATCCCCAGCTGACCTGCTTATCTCGCAGCACGTAACACCACGGCTGGCTGTCGTTATCAGGGTTTCTGCAGAAACAAAGGGTCCATTTCTGTCTCAATCAAGATCTGCACTCAGCAAGTCTTATCCCATCCACCGTTTGTTTCTTCTGTGCCCCACTCCTCGGATGCAGCTCTGGCTGTTCCCATCCCTGGAATTTCTCCCCAGCCAGATAGCTCTGTCACATCCCTCTTACCCTATTACTTGGTGTGTATACCCACTTACTACATTAAAGACACAGCTCACCTGCAGAATGCATGCGACCCCAGACCTAGACTGACAGCATTTTCCAAAGTGTTGCTGGAGAACTCATGAAACAGAATGGGAGAGTCCCAAGGCAGGCAGGGCTCCCCTAGGGAAGTGCTTTGAGCAATACCTCGGTACAGGTGCCCATTCCCACTGTAGCAGGTGTGAGAGTGATCTAGGGAGCAAGAAGGCTGGCGATTAAAACTGGCAGGTGCTGTAGAAGGCAATGTTTATGAACCCCCTACTTGCCCTTTCCCAAGAAGACAACCTCTTCTCACCTTCCTGTTGTTAAGAATGTAAGAAGAGCCCTGCTGGATCAAACCAATGGTCCATCTAGTCCAGGCATCCTGTCTCACACAGTGGCCAACCAGTTCCTCTGGATGGCCAACAACAGGGCATAGAGGCTGAGGCCTTCCCTTGATGTTGCCTCCTGGCTCTGGGATTCAGAGGATTAGTGCCTCTGAATGTGGAGGTTCCCCTCAGCCACCATGGCTAGTAGCCATTGATAGACTTCTCCTCCATGAATCTATCTAATCCCCTTTTAAAGCTGTTTATTCCTGTGGCCCTCACCACATCCTCTGGCAGCCAATTCCACATTTTAATCACTCTCTGTCTAAAGAAGTATTTCCTTTTGTCTGTCCTGAAGCTACTGGCCATCAGCTTCATTGGATTCCCTGAAGTTCTAATATTTTGGGAGCTGGGGAAAAAATGTCGCTCTGTCAACTCTCACCACCCCATGCATATATTTTTAATAAACCTCTATCATCCCCCACCCCTGGTAGTTGTCTCAACTAGGAAGAGGCTGTGGCTTAGTGGAAGAATGATTCTTCCCCCCCCCCCTTCTGTCTAAGTTAAAGGATCTGAAACAGCAGATACTGAAATATCTTTTTCCACGTGAAACCCTGAAGAGTCACTACTGTCAACCACAATGGGCAGTCCTGAGCTGGATGAAACAATAGTCTGACTCATAAGCATATGGAGCAGAGGTCCATCAGTGGCTATTCGCCACAAGGTATAGATAGGGGCTCTGGGGCAAGTGATGCTCTGTCTTCTTGGTGCTTGGGGGGGGGTGTCAACAGTGGGAGGGCTTCTAATGTCCTGGCCCCACTGGTGGACCTCCTGATGGCACTGGTGTTTCTGGCCACTGTGTGATACAGAGTGTTGGACTGGATAGGCCTTTGGTCTGATCCAACATTGGCATCTCTTATGTTCTTATGACTCAGGAGAAGGGCCAAACTGGAGAAGATGCTGAGAGTTTCCAGCATTTTAAAAAATATGAAGTTATCAGGTTTTGTGGAGACCAGATTGAGATCAGGATCCATGTGCATGAGAAAGGGAGGCTTATAAGCCTCCCCCCCCCCAGTTTCCCCCCCAATTTGCAATGCCTCTGGGTAGCTGTGATTTTTCCCCCATTGTGATAAACATCCCAAATAAGACATACATATAATTTTAGTTACTTTATGCAGCAATTCCCCCAATCTAGGCAATGTAGGGTTTCCAGCCTCCAGGCGGTGCCAGGTGATCTCCCGCTATTACAACTGATCCCCAGGCGACACCGCTCAGTTCCCCTGGAGAAAGTGGCCACTTTGAAAAGTGGCCTCTATGGCATTGTACCCAGCTGAAGTCCGTCTCCTCCTCCCCAAACTCCACCCTCCTCAGGCTCCACCCTCAAAATCTCTAGGTATTTCCCAACCCGGAGCTGGCAACCCTATGCCTAAGTGTCAATAATATACCTAAGCATTTCTATCCTCTGGAGGGTAGTCTTACCTATATCACAAGCTGAGTTAGTGTGAGCTAGCACACAGTTTTTTAGCCTCAGGCTCACACATTTTGGTCTCAGCTCAGGAAGGATGGCTCCAGAGCAAACTGATTTATGCAGTAGCGAAATCGCTCGCTCACAACTTTAACACCAGTAGCTCACAAAGTAGAATTTTTGCTCACCAGACTCCACAGCTTAGAGGGAACATTGCCTTTGGGTAGCTGTGATTTTCCCCCCATTGTGATAAACATCCCAAATAAGACATACATATAATTTTAGTTACTTTATGCAGCAATTCCCCCAATCTAGGCAATGTAGGGTTTCCAGCCTCCAGGCGGTGCCAGGTGATCTCCCACTATTACAACTGATCCCCAGGCGACACCGCTCAGTTCCCCTGGAGAAAGTGGCCACTTTGAAAAGTGGCCTCTATGGCATTGTACCCAGCTGAAGTCCGTCTCCTCCTCCCCAAACTCCACCCTCCTCAGGCTCCACCCTCAAAATCTCTAGGTATTTCCCAACCCGGAGCTGGCAACCCTATGCCTAAGTGTCAATAATATACCTAAGCATTTCTATCCTCTGGAGGGTAGTCTTACCTATATCACATAATGGTCCAGAAAACCTTCCAGGACAGCCACAGACCCAACCTTGCTTCAGCATTATGCAGTGGCCTCCATTTAAACAAGGGTTACTTGTGCATGCTGTGAATCACAGAAAAAAAGATGAACCTACTATAGTGATCAAGTTCAAGAAACACTTCAGCTGAGAATACACCAAGTCAGGTTTTCTTTAACAGCCAAGTATAACTTACTCCTTTTTATGTCTCATATCTGATGATCCTGACCCACTGACCCATTAACCAAGGAAAAGTGGTGTCCCTCCTGCTCCACTCATTATGAGATTGCCCCATTCCTCTTCCCTAGATATGGCACTATTGTCTCTATACCCATCCCACTAGTACAGGGGTGTCAAACATGGCCTACGGGCCAGAACCGGTCTGTCAGGGTTCTTTGGTGTAGTGGTTAAGTGCGTGGACTCTAATCTGGGAGAACTGGGCTTGATTCCCCACTCCTCTACTTGCAGCTGCTGGATGACCTTGGGCAAGCCATAGTTCTGTCAGAGCTGTTCTAAAAAGAGTTCTCTCAACCCCACCTACCTCACAGGGTGTCTGTTGTGAGGAGGGGAAGGGAAAGGAGTTTGTAAGCTGCTCTGAGACTCCGAGTGAAGGGTGGGGTATATATCCAGTCTCCTCCTCCTCCTTCTCTGGCGCACAAGCAACTGGTGCAAGTGAAGGAAGACAGGAGGCTTCTCCCTACTGCGGATGCATGTGGTGAGGTGTGTGCAATTGAAGCTATCAAGAAACATAAATATAATAAAATAAAATAAATAGAAAGGAAATGTTTAGGGGCAGGGCTAAGAGGCTGAGGTAAAATGGGGTGGTGGTGGAAATGAAGGCGGAGAAAGAGGAGGTGTGGTGTTTTTCCCCTCCCGCCTTTTCAGATCACAGTGAAGCCTCTATATGGGCAGGATGAAGCTGAGTAGCCAGCAAAGCTGCCACTACTGGACCAACGTTTTCAAACGGTGACTCTGCGAGAGCAGGTACATGGAGGGGTGATTTGCCAACAAAGGGCCAGGACTGGTGGGGGAGAGAGGAGGAGGAGGAGGGTCAGTGTGTGGAATGGGAGGCAACTGGGCTGTCTTGTGCATCCCACCCTGAGGGGGAAGATGTCACAGCCTTAGAAACAAGGGGAGGAGTGAAGGGGGAAAGGGGCACCCCTGTCACCACCACATGTTTGAACAGCTAGGAGGCGGAGTGAATGTTGGGGTGAGTGGAGGAAGGTGACCTCCCTTCTCCCTCCCACCTCTTCTCAGCCCATGATGGAAAAGTAGTTGCAGTTGGACAAAAAATGCCTGTCAAGCCTTACCTTCAGCTCTGCCGTTTCTGTGGGAAATGAAGGAGGGATAAGAACTGGGGGTAAGGGGGTCTGGGAGAGCCAGGTTCAGACCCACCCCCTGGGCCAGGAACCGGTTGCGCAGCCTGGTCCTCCTCACAGGGTTGTTGGTGGTGGTGAGGATGGAGCAGTGGAGGGAGGAGTCCAGTGTGCTTCCTTGAGAACCTCAGAGGTAGGACAGGGTAAGAGAGGAAACAAAGATGGATTGTAGCTATGTTCAACAGCTGAGGTTGGGAGTATTGGGTGTGTGTGTGCTGAAAACCTACCTAGTTTATTTGCAAGGAAGATGACTCATCTCCTAAAAGTGCTATATATACAAAAAGTAACTAATTTGTATGTAAGCCATAGTTCTGGCACAGCTGTTCTTGAAAAAGAGCAGTTTCTGTCAAGAGGTCTCTCAGCCCCACCTACCACACAGGGTGTCTGTTGTGGGGAGGGGGAGGGAAAGGAGTTTGTAAGCTGCTCTGAGACTCCCTTGTGTAGTGAAGGGCGGGGTATAAATCCAATCTCTTCTTCTTCTTCTAAATGTAAGATACCCCCCCTTATGGTATCCCTTGGGGAAAAACTAGTCTTGTATATGATTAAATACATTTATTGGAGCTTTTGTGAGTTTCCCAGTAAATCAATTGCTTTCACTTGTAGAAATCAATTGCTTTTGTTTGTATTTTGAGTAAAAATAATATCATTAATTGGGTTTGCCTGTACCCTTTATAAAGTTTATATCTACGGTACCCGGCATTCCATTTTATAGCACATATGGCCTGGCCCAACAAAATTACATTTATGTCAACTCCGGCCCTCGTAACAGACGAGTTTGACACCTCTGCACTAATAGATGGCCATGTCTGCACTCCCTTTATGCTCTCTCTCCTTTGCTTTCTGTATGGTGCAGTAACCCTACTGCCAATAACACAGGGTCCAGGGCTGATGATTCCCTGGAAATCGTATCTTCTAGCCTGGAAGCCCTGGTCATAATAACTGGTTGCCTGAAGGTTGGTTTTAGATATATAATAGGAATTCAGAGAAGAGGGATGATCTCTGTCTGGGAAATAGCACATGGGAAAATTGTTAAATACTCTCTTGTCCCTGCATTGTAGCTCTTATCTAAACACACCCCTCCCATTCCAGGCACTACTCTGTGGCTTAATCAACAAATCTCTCCTAATTCCCCCCCCCCCCGGTATCCTGGCTTTTCCGTATCTGACCCTTTCCATACACGGGCTTGCAAACAATCTTCTTCTTTCCAGCACAATGGCATTCCTCCAGCCCAGCAGGTTGATACCGCAGCCAGGTCTCCTTTTCTCCAATGTGCAGGCGCCCCAGAGATTCAAAGCAACTTTCTGCAAAGCAAGATTACAGGGTGATTCAGATCACACCTACCTCCCACAATGCAACTTGCCCTCTGGAGACAGATCAAAAAGCCACAAGCCCTTCGTCCGTACTTTAGCTTACGACACATGACAAACCCCAAGGTTCCTCAGAACTGCCAATACTACCTCATGGTCATTAAAAGCTTAATTTGGTCAGTTTGGCCCCAGGAGAACAAGATGGGAGCGTCAAACCTGAGGATGGGGCTATGAAGTCCAGCAGAACACATTACAATATAGAGGAACAGCTCTCAGCCATTCAGTTTGGTGTACTGTAGACTGAGGTCTTGGCCCCATGGAGAAGGATGACGATAGCAAAGTTGCCCTTGTACAAAGACAAAGGTAGTTCTTTTGTTATTGATGTTGTTCATAATTTGTTTTGCCAAATTATTGAACATCATTATTAGGCTATTAGCCATGCAGGGTCCATAACTCCAGGATTCATTGAACATCATTATTAGGCTATTATGGAGCCATGCAGGGTCCATAACTCCAGGATTCAGGCTCTATTACCTTTCTCACAACGTTTCCCATAGAAACCAGGATTACAGATACAATGAAACCCAGTGCGCCGAGCTTCACAGACAGCACCATTTCGGCATGGGTTAGGGTCACAGTGTCCTGAAAAAAGAGGAAAAGAGTCAGTCATGCAGACAGGCAAGAAGAAGAACTGGGCACCATATGCCATTGGCCATGGAGGACAGCACTGCTGGTGACCACATGAATGTGGTACTTCTTTTAAGAATTTACAAAGTGCTCTGCTGGATCAGAATGGTGGTCCATCTAGTCTCGGCATCTTGTTTCACACTGTGGCCAACCAGTTGCTTTGGAAGGCCAACAAATGGGGCATGGGGACCAAGGCCTTCCCATGACATTGCTGCCTAGCACCGGTAGTCAGGAATTTACTGCCTCTGAATGGGGAGATTTTCTTAGTGACCGACCAAATTTAGCCACAACCAGGCCAAGGATGAGAGAGCACATGTACCTTTACTCTGCTGCTGGAGCTGACTGACAGCCCCATTAAGGCATAGATTTCTCAGAGTAAGTTTCTTGTTCTGGACCAAGCACCTAAAGATGATAGGATGGAGTGGAGGATTGGAGGTCAAAAACTCTTTGATGGAGAGCCTTCCTTTATGTCAGCTGCAGGTAGATTGGCTTCTTCAGACCACTGACTCACCTCTTGGCCTCTCCTCTTTTTCACAGTACCTCCGTTGTTGGTCTCGGTCATAGTTCTCTGTGGTGGCACACCTGACAGGGAAGAATTTGAGAGTCAGCAAACCAATACTTGGAAGCTGGGCCTATGCCGAGATGGAAAGTTGCAAGTGATGACTTCCCCATGCACCTCAAATGCAGGTCTGGCCAGGCCCATATTGTACCCTCTTCCCTCACAACATGCTTTGGAGGGCCAGGCCTTGGTTAGAGCATGTTCTTTGCTTGCAAAAGATGCCAGGCTCAATCCCTGACATCTCCAGTTTAGAATAATACATGAGTCAGAAGGACTGCCACCGATCAGTGCAGACAATACTGAGCTAGATTGACTGACAGTTTGGCTCAGTATGAGGCAGCTTTGTGGGTTGATATGTTCCACTCAACAGTCCCCACTCTCCATCCTACCCAAGAGATGCTTACCAGGGCTCAGGATCAGCAAAGCTGCCTGGGAGGCAGGAATAATACATTTCACGGTGGAAGCGAAAAGGGAAATGGCAGGGCTCCTCATTGCGAACCATCTCTGCAAGACAAAAGTAGATGAATTGCTTAGAGTGAGGGTTGTGCATACTGTGTCAAAAAGAAATATAAAAGCCAACATATGGTTGTTCCATCCCTCCTGCTTTTGCTCACCTCCATGTATCTTTGAAGTGAGAGAAGAACCTTTTCAAATAATAAGAGTCTCATGGAATTGTTCTGCAGGTGCTGGCAGGCAGGCCTGCAGCTTAAGGGTAAGGTAAAGGTTTTCCTTGCTCAAAAGGCAGTCGAATCTGATTCTAGGGGGTGGTGCTCATCTCCATTTCCAAGCCGAAGAGCCAGCACTGTCTGAAGACTTTTCCCGTGGTCATGTGGCCGGCATGACTAAACACTGAGGCTCATGGAATGCTGTTACCTTCCCACCAAAGCAGTACCTATTTATCTACTTGCAATTTCTTGCTTTTGAATTGCTAGGTTGGCAGGAGCTGGGGCCAGAGATGGGAGCTCACTCTGTCACGTGGCACTCAGGTCTTGAACTGCCGAGCTACCGACCTTCCAGTCTGCAGCTCAGGCAAAGAGCATTGTAAGCAGCTTGATAACAGCCTAAAAACTAAAATTTAGGGTGCTGGGTTTCTGTTCCTCATAGCATTATCTCATTAAATTTTACACTCACAAACGGAATATCACAACCTTATTAGACAAAATTAATAACGTTTCATCTAGATGTAAGGTAAGTGATTGACAGTGCAGAGTTACATCCTTTTAAGTCCACTGCCATCAAAAGAGTTTGGGAGCATGTAACTGTGCTAAGGAGCTGTGGTGGCTCAAGTGGTTAAGACGCTGAGCTGCAGGCTGTGGAAGGTCGGTCGTTCAGCAGTTCGAGACCCGACTGTGCTGCATGACGGAGTGAGCTCCCGTCTCTAGTTCCAGCTCCTGCCAACCTAGCAGTTCGAAAGCAAGAAATTGCAAGTAGATAAATAGGTACCACTTCAGTGAGAAGGTAACAGCGTTCCGTGCACCTTGGTGTTTAATCATGCCGGCCACATGACCACGGAAATGTCTTCGGACAGCGCTGGCTCTTTGGCTTTGAAATGGAGATGAGCACCATAACCCTAGAGTCGGATTCGACTGGCTTTCGAGCAAGGGAACCTTTACCTTTACCTTTAACTGTGCTAAGGGGGTCAGAGGCCTCAATAGTTGGTGGTATAACAGTAACATAGAGGGGAAATTTGTTTTCTAAAACCATATCCAAGAAGAGGCTGGTTTTCCAGTTATGTGGAAGAAAGAGAGAGGATGGCAGGTCTAGTGAAAGAGCATGTTATCCATGTATGTTTTTGTAGTAGAACAGCTTTACCACCCCATGTGTATACTGTAGGTTGTTTTGTATATGGGGAGTGGGGTGTGAACTTGATGCTTATGTCTGTTTTTTAATAATTAAATAAAACATTGTTTCAGTAAAAAGCTTGACCGCCCTATAAATGAGAGGGTGCTTTCTCCCCAGACTTCCCCTGCTGGCTCGCAGCCCTGTCAGGAAGCTGGGGCAGAAAGCAGTTTCCTGCCTCTCTCTTTTGCCTCTTTGGTCGCATGCCACCACCCCTAGGTCTTGAAATCACCCCCCTGTTTTCTTGGTACATTCCAGGGGACCAACACCAAATGGGAATCTTTACATTAGCATGCCGAGTAGTAAGGCAGGGAGTAAGGAAGTGTGCAGGCTCCTTAGTTAAACAACTTTGTTCCTACAAAGCACAACTCACGGTAGTTACAAGACAGATCTAGGTACAGCTAAGCAAAATAAAAGAAACATGGAAGAAAGGTTACTGGCTAGTTCATTTGCAATCCTTGAACATCTTTCCCAGTCTTGAAGCTGGCTGTTGGTTGAATAGTGCATCCGCCCAGGGTTGCACCTGCAAGCATCCTCTGGCATCACTCTCCTCTAGGAAACCATCAACAACAACCCACACAAGCTTCTCCCAGGCCCTCGTGCCACCAAAAAAAGAGCAAAAAGCAACAAACTATACCAAACAAAGGAACAGTTCCCTTTTTCAGATGGACTTCTAGTGCCTGAGCCGGGTTGCCCTGGAGGTCTCCTGCTATTACAACCAGGGCTTTTTTTGTAGAAAAAGCCCAGCAGGAACTCATTAGCATAATAGGCCACACCCAACAGCAGAAACTCATTAGCATATTAGGCCACACCCCTGACAGCACAACTCATTGGCATATTAGGCCACACCCCCATGATACCAGAAGTGTGCTCATCTCCCCCACCTTTTGCTTCTTATTCTGTTTACCCAGGGCTTTTTTTGTAGCAGGAACTCCTTTGCATGTTAGGCCACACACCCCTAATGTAGCCAATCCTAATGAGCTTCTGCTGTCGGGTGTGGCCTATTATGCTAATGAGTTCCTGCTGGGTGTGGCCAACTTGGAAGCCAGCCGGAACTCCGTTCCTGTGCGTTCCTGCCCAAAAATAGCCCTGATCTCCAGACAACAGAGATCAGTTTCCATGGAGAAAATGGCTGCTTTGGAGGGTGGGCTCTGTGGCACTATACTGGGCTGAGGTCCCCCCCCAACCCCCCCTCCCCAGGCTCCTTTTCCAAAATCTCCAGGAATTTCCCAACCCAAAGCTGGCCACCCTAGGCCTTAGCCAATCTGGGTGTCAGGTCCCAGGGCTTAAACCAGCCACCTCCAACCAAAAGGTGTTAACACATCAAAGAGCTAATGTGTTTTCCCTTTGTGTTGTAAATTACCCCAGTCCTTTCCATCTGGTAAAATGTATTTTTTCCAAACTCTGCCGGTCTCTGGGACTCCAGCCCAGACTTCCACCTCCATAACTGTCACAGCATATCTCACCCATTTGCCACTCATCTACAATAGTTTTATTGTTATTGAGGATACCTACCGGTATATTCCTCTACAAAAGATGCTGGAGGGCCTGTTTGTGAATCTTTTTGTGGGGTTGGAGTTGAAATGATTTTGAGAAAGGCAGGATGGGGAAGATGGCTATTCAATGGCTATTGCTAAATAAGAGATGCCAGTGTTCCACCCGCCCTCCACGGTCTCCAACTTAGAAACTCACCCCTGAACATTAAGCAGGTAAATGTGCGTAGTTACTGTGTACGTAGGGAATGGTACTCTGCACATGCCCACCACTGTTTTTACTTTTTTGCAGTTTTTGTATTGGCTCAGATTTATTTAGATTCTCACCAAAGGCTTTCTTTTTTTGTTGTGAGAGGTGACGGGGGTTACAGTTGTCTGGATATTATGCCCCCTCCTTGGCCCTGAACAATAAAGTACTACTTTTTCTTTAGTGAGAGATTCTGTGTGGCTTAAGCCTGACTGAGCATTATGCCCATAGAGGTGCATTTTTCTTCACACAGGAAAGCTAGGTAATTTGCAATGTATGATTAGAAACAGCCCGGTACAGTTGGGAATCTAATTTTCTTCCTCCACCCCCTCCCCCATGGGCCAATTTATTCCTGAGGCAAATTCCCTACAGCAAACAATTGGTGGGGGCAGCCCAAATAGAGCATAGACCTGACTCTGGATATGTGCCCAGTGCTCTAATTTGTCACTGCTAATATTAAGGGGGAGAAAGGAAGCACATGAAAAAAAAATCTCTTGTGGGGTGATCTTTTACAGGGAAAGGATATTTTCTGTGGTGTGTTTATTGTATACATTACAGTAGAACAGTATACTTCCCCCTCTGATTTTTGTGTGAATTGGCTTGGTCTCATGGCGTGGACACCTGCCCCATTATCGTTTATTGGTTGGAACTGTAGACTGCATGAGCTCCCTTGTCCTGAAACAAGTTGCTTCCATCTCTGTATCTTCTGGCTAATAAATGGATCAAAGTTTGAGTACAGTAGCATCTTTAAGACCAACAAATTTTAATTCCAAGAACTAAAGGTGCTACTGGCCTCAGACTTTGTTTTATTGCTTCAGATATACATGGCTACCCACCTGAATCTAATAAATAGATATTATTTTGAACACAGCTGTCTCTGCTGTGTGAACCTAAGAGCAGGAACCTGAGAGAATACCCTATTGTTGACCTGCAAGCAGAACAGAATAGCACGGGGTGTCAGAAATGGTCCTGTTCCTTCTTTGGGTCTCCAGCACTCTATAAGAAGATTCCTGATTACACTCTTTGTTCAATAATGGAGCATTTCAAGCCTTCATCAGATTCCTCCTTTGTGAGGAGTTTACGGGAGAACTGGAGATGAGGGGAACAGAAGCTAAAATTGTACCTAGTTGTCACAAAGGCTGAAGAAGAGTCTGAGGATTATAAAATTGTAGTCTTTCTTCAATGCACAGGAGAAAAAGTTTTTAAACTTTGTTTTTCATTTTTCTGGCTCTTAGAAATTGAGTGCTCCATATTGTACCAACCCAGCAGCAGCAGCAGTAGTAGTAGTATTGTATGGGTTTCTCAAGAACAAGTCATGTCAGACTAACCTTATCTCTTTTTTTGAGAAAGTTACTACCTTGCTGGACCAGGGGAATGCTGTAGACATAGTTTATCTTGATTTCAGTAAGGCTTTTGGTAAACTTCCACATAATATTTTTGTTGACAAATTAGAAAAATCTGGTTTGGATCCTATGTCTCTTAGGTGGATCTGTAACTAGTTGACAGATCACACCCAAAGAGTGCTTGTGAATAGTTCCTCATCATCTTGCAGTGACAGGTGGAGTGCCTCAAGGATCCGTCCTGAGACCTTTTTTGTTCAACATCTTTATCAATGATTTGGATGAAGGGATAGAGGGAATGCTTATTAAATTTGTAGATGATACTAAATTGAGAGGGGTAGAAAATACAGTAGAAGACAGAGTCTAGATACAGGATGATCTTGACAGGCTGGAAAACTGGGCTAAACAAATAAAATGAACTTCAATGGGGATAAATGTAAAGTTCTGCATTTAGGTAGGAAAAATGCATAATTATAGGTTGAGGCTGAGTTGTCTTGGCAATAGTATGTGCAAAAAGCAGAGGTCGATTCGGGGGGATCGCAGGGGATCGCAGTTCCCCCGGGTGAGGTGCGGGGGCGGGGCA